TGGTACCATCTTCGCTGCAGTAACCAGGTGAGTGCATTCAATCACTTCATTATACCTTACATATGTGCCTATGTACACGATTACTTAAATTCGCACATACCCTGTGGGGAAAATCTCTAGTTCTGAACTGGGGCGCTTCTAGTACATTTAGACCCAGTACTGGTTCGCGATAAATCTCTTTTGCATGCAAGCAACTGGCGAATTTAACATGGCGATGTCCTAGGAAGTGTCAATTGCCCCCGCTGCAACCCTTTTTTGATAGTTCCGAACTAGTCCTAAATTCTATAGTTCCGAACCAGTTCTACAATCGACAGACGAAAGAAAAAAGTATCATGATTTTTCAATCTTTTCGGTTCTTCCGTGTGCAATTTTACATTATTTTCAAAGAAACGATTTATCAATTTGAAATTAAATTTGTTTGAATGATTGTAAGAAATGTACGTTTACATACCTTTGGCTGTAGCCGACTTTGCAGAGGTGCTCGCTGTTATTGGTTAGATTCCAGACGGCCCCAAGATGTTAATATGTTAACACAAAGCTTTGTTTTGTATTACCAAACTATGAAATAGCATCTGCGAAGCACAGAATAGAAGCGTATTTGAACGAAAAAGCCGCCGAACACATATCTATGTAAAATAAACACGCCCCCGCTGCATCCCTTATTCGATAGTTCCGAAATAGTTCTAAATTCGACAAATAGGATCTAGTTCGTTCTGCATTCCTTTTTCTATAGTTCCGAACCATTTCTAAATTCGTCACTTTAGATATAGATTGGTAGGGGAAAAAAATGAAAAAAATTAGTTTCTTAAAAGTACCACTTTTCGCCGATTTTGGACTGGTGGGGATCTAGTTCCTATTGGACTAGTTCCTTTTTGGCGATAAAGACCTAGTACGGAACTAGAAAATTTGATTCACTAGTCCGCGGTTCCCTGCAGGGTACATATATCCACACTGAAGTGTGTAGTATATACATATATATGTACATATATATAGGTGTATCACACTGACCTAAGGCTTTGCTAGGTGAACATAATAAGTTGTTTTGTTCATATGTGCACGTACATGCAAACATACATACAAAAAAAAAAAAAAAAAAACACACGTACATAATATACCCTACTGTTTATATTCGTGCAAGGGAATTTTTGCGGTTTGGTAATATTTTTTTTTGTTGCAGTTTATGCTCTTGGAAGAATTTAAACCGGAGTTAGAATTGGTTTATCAGGAATACTGATAATTAGGTACCTCGGTTTTTTTTGTTTTTTTTTTTATCTGCGTGCTATAGGGGATTATTTGGAACTCCTAAGATCAATAATACATATACCAAAGTTTGGTTCTGAAGTTAAATTTTGCTCAGATTGTAGCATTAGTTCTGAATTACTCATGTACCACTAGATATAGGCAAATACAATAAAGAAAATAAGTGAAAACGTATTATGAAACTAAGATTTGTATTTTTTCGATAGGTGAAGGGTATAACAGCGGTATGGAGTTATAGATTATTAATTTTTGGTGTG